CTAAATGTTTCAGCAAGTGTTCAGTGTGTTTCAACTTGAAAATCAGACATAACCACACACCTCATTCCTAAAGGTTTTCTGTCATAAGAAAACTCAAATTTGTAGTTTTAAAAAAAAGTGACAGCCCAAAGAAGTTATTTCCACTGACCCCTTTAAGTGTGTAATAAAGATGGAGGGTAGGCGATCTGGCCCAGAAATGGCCCAAATCTGCAGGATTTGAGTCAAACTCAGTCAGAAAATCATCAGAAAGTTTCATGGACGTATTTATCAATGATGGATTGCAGAGTGTTTTGGTGTTTCTACATCTGCAATACAGACTATTGTGAAAAAAAAAAGGTTTTCTGTGGAAGTCTCAACAGAAAACACAAAAAAAAACAGTGACAGGATGTTTGTGACCTTTGACCCCTGGGGGCCAGGCAGAGACTGTCAAATCCATTTTCACTTCACTTGCATCCCGAACCGTAACCTGACACCCGACACTGTATCAGGGGTGAGAGCAGTCATCATACAGATGTCAAATCTGCACGGTCAGCATAACACACACAGGCCCGAACAATGTCCGACATACGTTTAGTTCTGAAGGAATGTTTTCTGAGCCCGTTTGTCTCAGTGTGGTCATTTGCAGGGCGGCTCTCTGCTCTCCAGTGCGTCCAGTAAGTGGGTGTGAGTTAGCAGAAGTGGCTCTCCACACAGAGGGTGACAGCACGGGCGCGTTTGGGACGCAATCCGAATTCAACGTGACGCAAAACGCTCGCATATGATGCAGGCACCATTACAGCGGCGTGTGGCAATAATTCATTATACAACACTGACCACAGCGCACGTCAAATTACCAGAGCGTTTGACCCGATGACAGGCCAACGGGAGGAAAGTCGTCTTTTCGGCTTTTTGCTCTGGATCTGGACCACAAACGCCTCACGTTTCAGACATTGTAGTGCGAATGTGTCCAGACTCCCTCTCTTTGTCTGTTCGCCCTGCTTCTGCTGCCCTCATCAGCAGGCCGGCGGGGCCTTCAGAGCGGCCGAACATGTTCTCCGACACACGACGGCTGATGAGAAAAGCAGACGCTCCTCAAACCCACCGCGGCTCTCTCGGAAAAGCCACGGACGGTCTCCACCGGCCCTATTCTGTTTCAATTTCAATTTTCACTCCCTGCAGCGTCCTGATGCTGCTCTTATAACTGCTAGCAGACATTTACGCAATAAATAATTACAGACTAAGCCCCTTTTACAGACAAGGACCAATTAATCTTGAGACTAATTTGGAAAAAAGTGAAAGTATAGACTTAAAAAATACGTGGAATCTGATTGTTTGGGTTGAATCAGCGTCCTGAATGCAACGTCATTCTCTCTAAGTAATTTCTGAGAAGCCCTGTGTGTAAGAGTGAAACCGTTTGTACGACATGGGGTTTTCAAATAAAACATGTGCTGGTGAATTTGTTTCCACTTCCCTTTTCACGCTTAAAGTGCTTTAAGAAATCTAAACATATCCCGGCAGCATAGACGTCTAAAACCTCTGCATGGCTTCTGCGTTGTTTGGTGAGAACAGCCTCCTCTTCTGTGTTACAGTTACAGTAGGCCCCGTCCTGCTGCAGCTGTCCGCCATGCCGGACATTCTGCCCCGGCTGGCCAAACCTCATCGCACCACTGAAGTCCATCCAGTTTCGGGGCCTAGGAATTCTCTGCCTGTCTGGGAAGGGAGGGGGAAAAAGTCCCAGATATTACGACCTTTTCTTTCCCCCACCCTTTTCCACACCTCAAATCCATCCCTTTTCTTACCCTTCTGAAGGGGTCCGGACCCGGGATGTGGAACCGGGAGGTGGATCTGTTCTCTCGGCCTCTGGGTGATTTATCATGCCGCCTCTGTTTGGACCACGGAGTGAAAGGAGCGTACTGTATCTGTATCTGTGGCTTTTTGTGACCATGAAAGACGGGCTTTCTCAGAGCGAGTTGGGTAACAAAGGGATGCACGGCGGCTTGGTTAAGTGTACAAAAGCAAGAATATTACAGCCCCAATAAAGTCACTGACAGCGAACCAATACTTGAACTAATGAGGGGGCTTCATAGTGACCTTTAGGCTCAGCATAAAGCTTCTAATTGTTATTCAGCATAGATCCAACAAGATCAGCATTCACTGCCAAACTGACCGCCCCATTGGGTTAAAATTACTGAATTTCTTCCAGTTTTAACATATTTTGGCACATTTATTTTTACAATGGGATCAAAGGCGTGTAATGGATTGTAGCTTGATGAAGAAGGATGAGGAAAAAAAGACCTCGTATCTTATTCAACATTTAAAAAATGAGGATACCAAATATTTGTTGGTGGGGGTGGGGTTGGGGGAGGCCGAGGAGCTCGGACAACTGTCCGCAGGGCAACTGCCAGCCGCAGTTATTTAGGAACAACTCCGGACAGAGAGGCTGACATCAGCTGCCGCCGACATTGTTTGTCACAATCCAGGAAGATAGATACAGTACAAACACACACTCAGACACACACTCAGACACACACACACGCGCGCACACCCCGACGCACACCTGTTGACACATATCTGCTTTCATATGGCACTGCTGGGCCTCTCTGGACAGGTGGCTAAAAAACACCCCCCATGGTGGGCAAAGACCAGCACCTGCTCATCAGCTCCAGCCTCCCAGCTGAGTGTTGCTTTTTACATTTAACATTATCTGAAGTGGACGTAGAAAGAAAGAAAGAAAAAAAAAAGCGAGTGAGTTTGACGGAAGATCTCGAAATCGGCCTCTTTATTTACGGCGGGCTCTTCCTCTTTAAAGTACTCTTTTCTTTTAAAAAGAGAGAAAAACAATAGCCGTATTACCGGGAACTCTAACTAGTCGCAACATGTTCCTCCAGCTGTTTCTATTTAAAAGCATTTTCTTTTTTGTCAGGCTATTGTTCCTTTATCATAACATAAATGTGATGACTATTTGTTCTTACAAACCACAAAAGAAAAAATCGACCGATCCAACGAGGGCACAACTCAAATAGTCACTTATTTGCACGTTGGGTTTTGGTTTGATACAGTAAGAAAAACTGGGTTCCAAAAGGTCACAATGCTATATCCACTTATTCCATATTTGGCAGATAAGCCAACCAACACATTCTCTGGTCTTTACCCTTTTGTGTCCTTACTTCACAAAAGGCTTAACCTGTTAACCGGTGGACTGACTGACCGGGTGGTAAAAACATAAAAATATGAACAACTCAGGGGCATTCAGAACTGCATCAATCTTACATATGTACGTGTAAAATACCCATATTCCAAACAAAATAAATATTTAAACTAAGAAAAGTACAAACCTAAAAATCTATTCTGAACAACAAATATTTCATTAAAAATACTAATCAGAAATCCACCAAAACATAAACAAAAACTCAATCTAAAGAATAATAAAAAAAAGAAATAGCTCAGACAATACATCATTAGACGCTGCAGACTGGGAGCACACAAAGAAAGCTCAGTTTGCGAGCAGAGGCCGTGCTGACTGTTTACCAGTGTTTGCTTGTCATTCCTATCTCCATCCCCTCATTGTTGCACACTGTATGATATGAGGAGGATCTGTGAGCGTCCCCCCCCCACCACCACCACCCAGCGCAATTTTTCAATGGCTTCCTCTAATTTCACTGGCAATATTTCCACGCTGTTAAACGGGACTGTAGATTGTGTCTCATGATGCCTTTTGTGTTGAGTGATTTTACAGCTTTGCGATGCTCTGTTCTATTCTCAGCGTGGACTGGCAGGCGGAATCAAAGCTGACCCGTGAGGGCCCCGCGGCTCCTGGTGCCCGCCTGGGTTCCTCCTCCGCTGAAGCGGCGGGACGGGCGGGCTCCGAGCGTCCGGCGCCGGTAACAGAGCGGCCCTTATGTTCCCCCCATAAACGCTTCTCAGAACCCCTTTTAGTTTTTGCTCCTGTGTACTCCTGACATCAAACCGTCTTTTGAAGTGAGAGCCTCTCTCTTTCCCCTCCGTCTGGTCTGAAGATGAAAGAGGAGCATGGGGGGGGGACTGGGAGCTGTCTCTGCAGATGCAGCCTGCCATGGGGTCTCTCTCCCCCCCCCCCCCCCCCCCCCCCCGCCAGAATCTCCTCTGGCACTGGCAGAAACCGAAGGAGGACAAAAGGCACCGGCCGGCCGGCGTCCAGCGGCCTTGTGGCTAATTGAAAATGGCTCTCCTCCTCTCTTGCATCATGGCCTTTGCTGATTTGAGTCCCCCCCCCTTATCTCCGCCATCCTTCCCTTTCCTCCCCCGTCTCCCTCCTCTCTCTCTGGGAGCGGGGCCGTGCTGATCTTGGGACATCCCCAGTATTTCTTGGCCTCCGAAGGCAAATATAATTGAGCGGTAACATGAGAGGTTTACTCTTCTCCTCGGCATGCCTCGCTCAATGGGTTGTGGAATATTGGAGTTCAAAGTGGGCGCAGTGAGTGTGTTATTGCTCCGCTCTCCTCTTCCTCTGCGGTGCAAACGCACACGGACTGGAGATCCTGATGGAAGCTCCGGCCCATGGCTTACCTTGACCCACCTGGAGGTAAACAAAGAGCTCCAAACAACGGTGGGACAGGTTTCCCCCTCCAAAGAAAGCAAATTATGGAGCAGATCAGCTGGTAATCAGATTTCTTACAAGCCAAGAAAGCGGGCCGGACGATAATGAAAAGGAACTTTAGTATTTACAGCAGAGCTACGGTGCGGAGGGTTTGTGTGAATATCATTTACAATCATTTCCATCTATTTGGACAACGGGGCCCTCGACAGATTCCACTTCACTCCAGCTAAATAGACGTATTCTCGGATCTTTTCACAGTGTTATAAACAGTGCAATAAGGCAGTGCTGCTATTTACAACTGTTAGAAAACTGTACAGGAGTGGGGACACGCACGTACGCACCATCTATCCGAGAGCCTTTACATAACAAAAACTTTACACGACAGGAGATAAACGACAGCTCTTTTTAACCACGGCAAATATGAAAATACATAGTAGTGCAGAGAAAGAAAAAAAAAAAAAGCATCCACTCTTTTTCCACATCCCTTGTTCGCCCCGCTTTTGTTTGTGTCTTTTTAGGAATGCGCGCACCATAATTACCAGGAGGCTACATAGTGGAGCTATTTTCTGTTTCCCTCCGTCTGTTACATGACGTGCCTCAGCAGCCTCGTCAGATAAATACAGAAACATCCCATTTGTCTGTTATGTGTGTTACGTGTTTCTGCGCCCGGCCTGATGTTTCCCCTCGCACAGAATCAGTGGGCCCGCTCCTCACTGCCCAGTTTCCAGTGTTTCTTTTCATTAGTCACTCACAGTCGGTCATCTCCCCTTACCAGGAATTCAGCACTTAATTAGCTCAGAAGAGGAAAAAATAATAATCAGAGCTTTAATGGGGCAAACTTATTTTTTTCTTTTTCTTTTTTTTTCAAACCGGTGTGGCGGGTGGGAGGTGTGTGCGTGTGTGTGTACCGCTAAAAGTGTCTGAGGCTAATACCCGTAAGAAAAAAAAAATCCCTGCGAGAGCCTTGGCTGAGACACAACTCCTGCACTGTTTTGCTGTAACGCGGCACCGGGTCCTGTCATGGCGGCGCGGGCTGTTTTTAATTAGCTTTGACCTCACTGTAAATCAGCACCGCGTTAGCCACACCACCCGGTCCAGACAC